AGTTTGTTAAATATTTCACACAAAAAAAAGATCAATGTACAAGCCGTCAACTTGAAGATAATATTATAAATATCATGAATACAAAAAATATTATGGAACATCACTAAATGCTTTGCACCATTCACTGAGTATTACAAAAAAATAAAGTCAAAGTGTAAGGGAATCGCCGAGGTATACTTTAAATACCAGCCATTCGATGGCAGATCGAGTAGTATGCACCGAGAACGACCGTTGGTGAGTTAAGCATCAGAGGACGTATCAGGAAAGGACAGGTTGCCGCATTAGGTGAGGGCTGCTTTCATAAGGAGTCAGTTCTGAAATATACAAGTGCCTCCAAAATCGTCAAATGGGTGGATAATTCGACAAGGTGGAAACAAACGCTGTATCTTGACAAAGTGAACTTGTAGCATTTGTTTTGCCCCTCATTCGTAGTTAATTATCATTAGTGCCTTGGTCGCACTGCTAATCAATGGGAGCTCCCCTCCTTTGGTAGAAGGCGCCGTTTGTGATGATCATTTATGCCATATGCCCTTATTTTGAATCTGCTCCGAGAATCCGCTAAACGATTCTCTGAACGAAGATGTGAATTCTTCAGCTTCTCTCTTCTTGCAACCTTGGCATAGTGTTGTAAGTGTCCAAATTGTTTTGTGCCTTACGAGGTTGATAGGTGGAACTATTTATTCAATATGGCCTAACGTTTCGACTGAATCGTCGTCATCAGAGGCCTGAATGTGTTTCAAGGATTAGATTGCGCTCTATTCCACCCTAACCCTACCACAGCGGCAATTCATGCAACATCTTGCGTCCACCGACTCGTGTCAAGTAACCCCTCGAAGAAGACCAGCCAGTTCGCGAAAAAGCCCCCAAAACCCCTCCACACGCCGGGACGGTTCGCTCCTTAATAAGGCAGAGCAGATGTCGTTACACCTACAACTCACGAAGACAGGGGCACTTAGTCTTTAATTGGGAGTACTGGGCTGTCTCGCGTATAAATAGTGTTCTTCGGAGACGCACTGTAAACGCTTTCATTCTAGGTATCAGCTCGGATGTCACGATGTTCGATCGGCTAGAGTTTAAGAGGCGCTTAATGTGGGTATTTAGAGACTGCAGAGTGAGAGTGCATGACTTCTTGTAAGATTCTGGTTCATAAGGTGGGCCTCGGGTTAGACGGATGATAGTGCAGCGAAACTTATGGACCCAATATTGAATAAATATTCCAGCTAATATATAATAAAGTCCGTGCATAAGGCACAAGAACAATTTGAGAGAGATGTAATGTTGAGAGGAATGTAACGACGGGCTAGAACTGGAACGCGAACATATAAGAACACTAGTGAATATTTCGCATGGATAATACCTGTGCCGATATTAGAGGTATGAACTGTGAAAATTTCGCCTGGAAAATACTCGTCCGGAAACACTGTAAATGGTCACCTTGCAGAGCTGAAGACTGGTGTGATAATGCTGATACGTATTAATGGATCATGTGGTGAGAGTGGGGTAACTAAGACAAACGCAAGCTGCTAAAGAACATCTGGTGGATTCATGAGCAGCTTCCTTGCACATCTTCTGCTTGCAAACAGCTGCAGTTTTCCGTTTAGGGCAGCTGGCAAACGTGAGGGCACTGGTTGTTGACAGAGACGGCAAGGGAGTCTACACGACGATTAGACCGCTGAAATAGCTGTTCTATATCGGCTATACGCTGTTGCACAACCTCACAGAAGGGTTACGCTACTGAGCGCGCAACCTAGCATGACGTCTAGGCGTGAGAACTTGGGCAGAGACAAGTATCCAAATTAGTGTGTAGGGGGCGGGCGAGTCTCATATCTAATCATGTAAGTGCTAAGCAATTCGAATACGTACTGGCTCGGGCTAAGGCTGGAGGATTGATGTGGCCCTTAGTGAACATCCTCCCCCCCATAAACATCAGGCGCCAGCTTGTACGTAACAGACTCTACGACAGACATTGCATTTCAGATCATTGTGTTATATGTCCTAACGGTAAAGCAGGAGATTGCGCCAAAGCTGGCGTGATCTAAACAAATCGAATGCCCATCTTGTATATGCAATACATTGGGGGGGACTGGAAGGCTACTGGCAACACGTATTAAAGAACATCTTGCTGGTAAAAGGCGTGGTAACAAAACAACACCGTTAGGGAAGCATCTGATCGAAGAGCACCGCGGGAGCGATTTTGATGTGAAGTGCAGAATCCTAGCGTACGAGCGAGGCACGAACACTCGAGAGAAATCTCTGCAATAAAAGCGCAGAGGATTCTGGATTTCGCAAGGAATCCAGAATGATAACACAAAATGATGTAACTCTGGGCCATAACAAATACTTTCACCGTTTTCACTTCATTGCGAGTTAGTGATGTAACTATGAGCACGATGCAATCCCTGATGCTGCTATATAGCATAGAACGGCATAAGTTAGTCTCACGTTCCAACTTTACTAACAACTAAGTGAGCGGGCATCGATCCGCTCAATGCCGCCGTGGACTTGGCTATGATTTTGCCTGTCCGCGATCGGTGTCTATTTCAGGTTGTTTCTTGGAAGTGCGACCGATAACCCTAGGAGACAGCGTTGGCGGTGTAGATCGCAAATTAAAAAATCTCGAGCCTACGTCAGTGGGAAGCCTCTGAGACACCGATTCTGGTCGGACAACGTTGGAGCCGTAAATAAAGTTCCACCTGAAACCTCGCTGACGCACAAGTGAATAGAACATCATATTTACAGCAAGCTGAAGTTATTGTGGCCAAAGGTGTGGGTGGCAACAGTCGTGCGTGTGGTCATCTCTGGGCCAAACGCGCGACTAGGCTAAGTTCAAGTGCAAGATGCGTTGACTCACGGCCGGCCCCAGGCCCGAGCGCGCCTAGATGGCAGAGTGACGGACGCAAACGGGAGCGGACTTACAGCTTTCGGGGACTGCAGTGTCAAAACGCAGTTTGCTTTCGCTCCAAACTTCTATCCGACGAGGCGCGGCGAAATTTTACCACCCAGCGAAAAAGCGGACGTATGTCGTTCATGACGGGAAATCACTGCGGCGTGATGAGAAGCGGCCCTCAATTCGCTCTTTAATTAACATCAAAAACCTCTCATGTAAAGACTGATCGTAACTAGGGTGTTTGTGATGCACAGTGAGTCCTTCCATGTCACTTAGACACGAATTCCATTTACCAAACACTACTCACATCAATCCGGAAAAGCTAACCTGCTGCAAGCTTCTCAGAAAATGTAAGAGCGCTGGTAAACAAATGCATGGCCGGACCATTGAAAGTACGCGATGAAATAAATGTCCGAACATGCATTACCTGTACTTCCATTTCTGGGACTTTCCTGGATTTAGAGAGCTAATCGAAGGCTGTTGCGAAGCGCATTCGGCATCTCGCTCGCGTGCACGCTAACGGTTTGGCGTGTTCTAAAATGGATTAGCCAATCAGGCAATGCCGGTCTGGAAGGCAACACGCACATTTTCCTCACATTTATATCTAACAAGAAAATTCTGACCAATATTCAGCCAATTACTCCTTTATTGTGCTCCATTGCGCCATCAGACCTAACCTGAGAGCTAACAAGGTGATGGATTCTTGCTTTCGCAGCCTAATGGTTCGCGACTTCCATCACTCTCGTCTTCATACGTCATCTGACACTGAGCTAGCTCTTCGTCACGTACCTATCTCATACCCGAGCGCGCATCATTCCTACTTGTACACTAGAACAGGACTTGTGGCGGATCCCCATCGCACTACAATTTTTGAGTCTCTATCCGAACGTCTGGACAGAACCACATTTTTACATTCATATCGTGTAGGCCAGCAGAAAATCAGCTGCTTATCATACCTTGTAACTTCCCAATTATATCGATCGCCAATCTCCGAACATATTGTTCTCTCAAAGAATTAATTATCGAATTGGCATTTTTCTGCATCTGCAACAAATCTGATAAATCTACGTAAAAAATGAGATATATTTGTCCACATACCTAATATACATGTGCAATTATTGAAGTTGTTGGTGAAGGTCCAGACTGCGTCGATTTCATACACATTCATACCAATGGCGTTGGTCTGGAAAACTTCGTTGTTGTAGCGTGAGAGCCTAGCTGGGTAACAGTGGAATTCTAGATGAGAAAAATTACGTAACAAAAAGTTTGACAATGATGGTGCACAAGCACACTAACCGGTAATGATGAAGAGCGAAAACAAGTGAGAGGGATGCGAGAGTTTTCTCTCCACCAGACAAATTCTTCTAATCTGCTTCCATACTCTCTTGTGGAGAGTAACCGCTAGAAAGACAAGGCCCTGTAATCAAGGTAAAATTGACTGAATAGAATGGTTCGAATCGACCAGAAACAGAGCTGCGGTAGTAGTCAGCTAAGAGGTTTATATTCAACCTCTGGCACTATTTCAGCAGAGAGAGAGCGAGAGAGAGATGAATTGTATGCCGCTTTCCGCCAGTCTATTTCCCGACAAAACGGCGCATGCTGATTTCTATAAGCGGGCGCGTCCTGCCGCTGAGGAAAAAAATTGCAAAATACGAAGTCCCGCCCCTCCCCCTTCAAGTTTCCTCCTCTGGTACGACCCCATCTTCCTTATCTAATACTTTTACGAATTCGCTGCATTTTTACCACAACGACCAGGCCACTTAAGCCACAGAGAACTATCATTTTCTTCAAATACAAAATTCCCGGCATTTCCCCCATGAGAACTGCCGGTGAAGGGAGGATGAGGAGGTGTATAGCGCACGTAGAATGGAAAAACTCGAGAGAAGTGTCAACAAGCGAACATTTTCCATAGAGGAAAAAGGCACCCATCCCTCCATCGACCAAACACGACCCCTCTCCCCCTCTCTTGCTGAGAATTCCCAACGTGACGTGCTCTGTTTCGTTTACAACCCTTCCTGTGGGCCGAGGGCTCAAACTGCAAGCGCATTTCGGTCTGGCCAGATCGCCACGGAAAGGTTTCATCCTTATCGGAATCGCAGAAAATCTTTTTCGTTTATCTATGTTTCACGACAATGAACACCAAAACCCACATAAACTGAATGCCTTGAGTGAATGGATCCATGGAATCTTTGAGATCCAAGGAGGCATCACCACCAAGAGTGAGCATCTGGTACATTTCTTTCAAACCGAGGCCTATCCTCTCGAAACCGTCCTTAAAAGCACCTGATTCAATGTCTGAGAAGCTCGCATGCATTTTTTACAAATTGCAATTTGACGCCATGAATTATGACCGGCAGTCGATCTCGTGCGCATATTGTCCAACACAGCCATATGTTCTTTTAGCACTTTGCCTCTGCTGCGATCGCAGTACAGCTCGTCGGCCTTCGAGCTTTTGTCAGCTAAATAAAAGTAATTTAAAAACTGTAGAGCTGCTCCCCGTAGATAACATTTTTCTAGAAGTACTTTAAACGTCAATCATCCCTTTCTGGGATCCTACTCCTCCTTTTTAAGAAATCGGTGGTCGCTATTTAAGCGTAGGGTCTGTTCAACAGACTCGTAGACTGCGGGAAATGGATGGAGTACGTCCACAGATGAAGATAATTAATAATATTCACCAATCCGTAGATCTGGACACACTGGGCCGGAGTCGACCTGGGATTGACCACCCGGGCCGTGCGGACGCATTGAAAGCGTGCTTTTTTGATGTAAGATGACCGAGAAGAAATCTACAGTCCTCATAAAGTGCGGAACAGTTATTGTGGCGTGGCAGTGCGGCTTCATTGTGCGCTTGGAAAGTGTTGTTCTTGTCAGCCTCAAGTTTTTTTGTAAGCGAACAAGTGCATATACTAGTATAATACCTATCGTTATTTATCGTTTTCTATGCCACTTTTTGTCTGCATACGCGTTTGGTCAACAAATATAGGCTTGAGTAAGCGGCTCAAACAGTTGTGCGCACGTCCTTCTGGTTCTGACATCGCCCACGTCCGCTATTAGGCACCTGCACTCACTCCATACCAACTAATAGAAAGTCACCCTTCAGCAGACTAAGGTCATGAATGCGAAGGGTTTATTTGACCCGCAAAGTAACCCTAAAAAATGTAATGCATGCAAACTAAGTTACTATGGATGCAAAGCAATAACCCTATAAATTTGAAGACAACCGCGCCCATCAACCACTACGAGATACGGTTTCCTTAAGCGGGAGAATGATATGGTATTAGCTAACAGTACAACTACAGTCCCCACGCTGAGCTGTAGACGGGAATGGAGCTGGAGTGTAGTATACCCCAGTGCTGTCTCTATACCGCCCGCACTCTCGCAGAGCCAGTCACACGTCAGAACATAGCCAAAAGCGCTACTTGTTCTGCGCCTTCTCACTCTGACTCTACTACCGTTGAGTGCATATCCTCGCTGCTAGACACTGCACACTGAATACAGCGTGGAGGACATTGAGGCGGACACGGTCATTCACGAGCCTGTCAGCCAGTTCCGCGTCGTTTGCGAGTGGAACACCTCATATCGAGGGCCAGGATTCACAATGGTGAAACGTAACACTTTGTCTTACACTAACCGCTAAATCAACTGGCCTTAGTTTTTGCAAAATACTTGAACACTTTTCGTGGTAGTGCATGATATGACATTCGATGTTGCATGGGTCAGCGTAAAGTCGAGTTGTGAGAGGTTGTTTTTCGTGCTGCTAAAGTAGGGGGGCAAGGAGAGACCGAGAGAGTGAAGGCAAGGGATGTGATGAGGAAAAGGGAAGGAGGTGAGAGATGTAGGATGTGGGAGTGGTGTAGAGTGACTGGGAGGAGGCAAGGACTAAAGGAGGGTCACTCCGGTCGGGTTAGAGACGGAAGAGATGTGGGGTGTGAGGGACAGGACGATGACGCGAGAGAGAGGCGAGCATGTGGCATAGAGGGATCGATCAGGTTCAGGAGAGGAGACTGGGAGCCGGACGGGGCAGGGGAAAAGGCTGAGTGACGAGTATTTGTCAATGTAAACTTGATATGCTCTCTGTCGAGGTCAGCTACATCTTCGCGAGTAAGTTTTGGCACAGTTCCATCTGGTGATTCGAGGTACTCTTCTTCAGCGTCAGCACCTTTCTTCTTCTGAATAAAATGCTATAGGATTCATAACGACTAATATCCATTATGATGATAACGCTGTCATTTGAACTTAACCGTTCACACGCACTGCTCATCGGCGTTGTCTGATGTTCGTGATTCATCACGCTTTTCAATAGTAAGTGTGTATTGCATTAATAAACAAAAGCAGAAAGCAAACGGACGTGATTCACAGATTAGCCCTGGTACTAGCTTCTCACTGTTGAGCAACACACAAACTATTGATTCAGAAAAAAACCCGTTCGTCGTCGACGGGGTTATGAAGGGTGGTTGCTAGTACTAAACTGAAAACCTCAACAAACCTTCTTTCCTTTCTTTTCAGGCTCCTTCTCTATTGGGCCCAGGTCTCCAAAGAATGAGTCATCGAGTGAATCGTTAGCATGGCGAGGTTTAACGGCTTTCGGGATAATATCAAAATCTTGCGTTTGATGTAAAGTTAAAGCTTCCATCTAAACAAACTAAGTTAATTGCGTTCCTTTTTTCTGCATCTCCATTACTTACCTGTCTTTTCAACTTGTCGACCTCCACTTGCAGGGCTTTTAAACTGGCTTCCTTTTCGGCTAAATCATCCGTGCAGATCTAAAAGAGAAAACAAGTCCTACCTTACGTACTTGAGAAGGACGATCTAATGTTAATATTTCACCTTTAGTTCTTTGAGATATTTCAGCTCGTCCCGGTTGAAATCCTCCCTCCGCTGCCGTGTGTTCTTGAGGAACTCTTCAATCTCCTCAAGTTTTCTCTGAAAACGCAGAAATGATAAATAATATGTATGAAGATAGATAGGTAGAAAATTAAGATTCGTAGAAAAATTCTGGGTTGGACTTTGAGATAAAAAAATAGTAGGAAAGCAATCACTATGTTGTAGAGTGAAAAATTATCCACCGAAAAGTGTACAAACCAAGGAAACGATCTTCAACGTTGACATAATAATTTTTGCAGGAGAAAATGTCATCAACGTAGCTGCTTTGGAAGACTCTCTTCTTCTTCCACAAGTTTCTGCTCCTTGGCCTTCTTTTCGGCCAGAGATTTTTCAAGGAACTTGATCCGATTTTGCACCTAAATTGCACTAGCCTGAATGGACCAGAGTTTTCTAAGAAGTCGGCGAATCGGCGAAAACGCAGCCAATCGCTCATGTTGGAGCACTTTCAATCATGAATAACTCTCCACTTACTTTTTCCATATTGTGCTCGTTCAAGTCTATGCTCACACGTTCCTTCACAGCCTGCTCCTCAATTTCTTGCCTTCTTTTCTTTGCAGTGTCTGCTTCATCGAGATATTTCTACAGTAAAATAACAAGAATCTTATTTCACTTCCTGCACAGAGCAATATGGGAAGGTTCGAGATATTTCTACAGTAAAATAACAAGAATCTTATTTCACTTCCTGCACAGAGCAATATGGGAAGGAACTGAACCCTACCTGTACAAACTCATGAAAGATGGATTTCACTTTTGCAGCTACAACATCAACTTTGGCCTTGGCAGCAGCCACCTCCTTGGCGCACTCTTCCCTCTCTAAACTCACAGGTCAAATCACTGAAGCTTGGCCATGGCGAAAATGAACTCAAAGAGAGGATGGTTCTTTCGCATCGTGAAAAAACGCTTGAAGATGACGTACCTATGGTTGCTGCTTCGATTTCAGCTTTCTTTGCAGCAACTTCATCTTCATCAGCGAGATTCTTCTGCAGCTGCTCATTGACGTAGACCACTTGCTTCTCCATATGGGATATTCTTTCAGTGAGTTTCTGTAACCAATTGGAATTTACTGCTTTCGAAGAAAAGCCTGAATTACCAGATTCACCGAATAATCAACTGGACCATCGAAGATAGATGACAGATAAAGCCTACTGTAACACACTGACAAGCAATTCATGTTCCATTTTACGCCACAAGTTGGTCAGTTTCGCCTCCCAGCCTCAGCTTTTCTCATTCTCCTGCTCCTCCGATATACTGGATTTTTAATATTTTCTCTTGGCGCGCGCTCTCCTATTAACAAGCCCTAGAGCCGATAAGGGAGATGAGACCTGAGGATATGATGAGAACTCCTTCCATTTCTCCAACATATAACACTCCTTCGAAGTGAAGATGAACGAGCAGTACCAGTAAGAAGCTCAGTTTTTTTTTCAAGGCACTCCCGCGTTCGTTTAATGCGCGGACGCCTTCTTTGAACATGGCAGTCCTGCCCGCAAGCAAAGAGGTTGCACTGCTTTCACAGCTCAAAAAAACTTCGTGAGAAAGGGACAAGGCCACGGCTCCGCCTACAGGCCACAGCAACGCCTTGTTCCCCTGTGGTGCGGCTGTTCCGCTACAAACGCTAGTTTAAGCCGCACAACTCACCATTGATGAAACCAACCTTTGATATATGTACTAGAATGGGGTTTCAAACAATCAACGTTCTCAAAAAAAGTTTAGTAGCGACAAAAGTATCGAAAATTAGGTCAATGAAGTAAGGTGTGCAAATACGCCGCTCTGAATCTGCGAAATTGCTATAAGAAAATACACATTACTCACAAGGATCTCGTTGTCACAAGCATTGTACTGCGTACGAAGACGATTTGCATCATTGCTCAGGGCAAAAATGCGCTGCTCCATCTGAAATCATAGGACAAATACAGGGCCGGATGGCCTTTCTTCGAGAAACATTAGCTGCTCAATTGACAATCTTGATTACCTGACGACAAGCCTGGGACGTTTCCGCCAACATTTCACTCTTCTCGTCCAGTTCCTTGATAAGTGCTGGAAGTCTGCTTTGCGCATCACGTAGGGCTTGTTCTGCTTTTCCTTTTTCTTTGTTACCCATGAGACCACTGCAAAGAACACTCCTGACATACACAGTGCCTTTCTAGCGCTAAGAATGTTTCTGAGCTCCTATTCCCTTCAGAATCCGAGAAGCCACAAGGCAAGTCAGAAACTGTGCGTAGAGCAACAACTTACTATTTCGGCTGCCCTCCACCTGATACGGTACCAGAGCTATCCACGACCTGGCCGAGAAGTGTTACAATACGCAGCGCTGAAAAAGGTTATCTAAGACGTATTACGAGCATCACGTTCGAGAAGAGCACTTGTAATCTCTTTTACACGAGTAAGAATCACGCTTCAGACTTCGTCATCGAAACATCGAGCGATTGGATCGCGCGACCACGACTGGGGGCGCTCCTCCGCCGAAACGGCGAAATTTTATTTGGAACCGTTTAGGCGATGCACAGTTTGACGGTAGGAGCGCCACCGGTCATGGTCGCGCGATCCAAGCGAACGGCGGGATCGCGCGGCGATCTGCTCACGAAGTCTGAACGCGGTCTCAGGAATCGCTGCAAATATAGTTGTCTACCAACAAGAACAAATACATTATGTGATTCTTTCTCTTCTTAATTCTTCTCTAAAGGCACCAAAATTCCCCTAAAAACCGATGATTACGGCTTCACTCCGGACAATTTTGATTAAACAGCCATAAAAAATGCACAGTTGAACTGATACTTAGGGTGGGCCAAGCTTTTTCAAGCCAACTGCCTTCAAAATCAAAGCGAATTTGATTTCACTCCAAATGATATGAAAAATTCATTCAAAATCATTCAATGCTGTCCAACGCTGAAAAAAATAAGGACAGAAGGCTAGCTTAGCTGTATCGATAGAACAGCTTCACGATGGGCAATGAGGAAAGTCACAGGAGATAAATGTTTGGACTGAATTACAGTTACGTTCAACTCACATCGATCCTTGCAGGAGAGATCAGTAGCCTGTTTCAAAGTATCAACGACTAGAGTATCGAAAACAGTTGAGTAGAAGACTTTTCTCAGGCGTGGGTCAGGGATGTCTATGAGATCAAACAATCGCGGTGCAGGGCTGTAACAATAAGAATACAGTTCAGATTACTCCGCTGAGTTGATAAAGACCTACAATTTCTTCTTCGTATCCATACTGTCCTTGAACTCATTCGTCTTGTTTAAGATTATAAAGTTGGTGCGACCAAGGTTTTTCTAAATAAAGAAGAGACCATCCCTACTAGTACAGAACAACAAAACAAAGTAGGAAACCTACCTTTACGAGGTAATCAATGGCCTCATGACCGTCATCAGTTGTTTCAACGACATATGAGTCCAACGCTGCCGTCGTCGTAGAGATAGCTGCATCGTATTTCTTGTCAATCGTTCCAAGATCACCCTGAACAAGAAGTATCAATGACATCCGGATCAACCCTTCCCACTAACTATTTCCGATTCTGGCTAACTTTTTGTAGTGAAGACTTCGAAAACTCACAGTATCTTCAAACATTTTGGTTGTGATAAGACTTTTGACCCCAATCTGCTAGCGTGCCTGCCTATGTGTGAAAACTTTACATAAAACTCACTAATCTTCCAATCAGGCCCTTGAGTAGTCCTTCACTTTTTGCCTTAGCCAACGCTTTCTGACGTTCCGTTCCAGCTATTCCCGAGGAAACAAGCTGCTTATCCTCGGAAACTTTTGCACGCAATACGCTCACCTAGAAAATTTATACTTTACTGCCGGAGAAATAACATGTGGTTGACAGCCTATGATTTGACAGTAAGAATATTTTCACTCCTCACACCTACCTCTTCCATTAACTTGTCTTCTTTTTCCTTAATTCCTGGAAGAGAAGCTCGGGCTTGAGCAAGCTCTTCTTGAACCCGAGGGAGTGACACTTTCAGTTCATCCATTTCCCTAAACATTTAATATTGAATTTTCTAGAGGATACACCTCACAGGGCCTTTTAAAACACCCTGAGAGGTGGACTCATACAGTGCGCGAGGTGTGCAGGTCCGTTCCTGCAAGATGTACCCTCTTCACCACACGAAATTACACCTGTGCTATAAGCTTGTGATAGCTTAACAACAAACCCGGTCTTTTTCTCAAGCTCCTCCTTCCATGTGGACAGATTATTTTGAAAATCAGTGAGCCGCTTTCTCAGCTTAGTCTCTTCGTGAGTCATGTTTTTGAGCGTTTCTTTCGCAATATGGAT